TCACCTGGGGCTCAGCTGGGAGTCACCTGGAGGTCACTTGTGTCACCCGAGTCACCTGTGTCACCTAAGGGTGGTATTGTCACCTGGGAGTCACCTGTGTCACCTGGGGGGGTATTGTCACCTGGGGGTCACCTGGGGGTCATTTATGTCACCTGGGGGTCACCTGTGTCACCTGGGGCTCAGCTGGGAGTCACCTGGAGGTCACTTGTGTCACCTGGGGATCACCTGTGTCACCTGGGGGGCCACCTGAGTCACCTGGGGTCACCTGTGTCACCTAGTGGTCACCTGTGTCACCTGGAGATCACCTGTGTTACCTGGGGGTCACCTAGGGGTCATCTGTGTCACCTGGGGGTGGCATTATCACCTGGGGGTCACCTGAGGGTCACCTGTCTCACCTGGGGGGACAGTGTCACACCTGGGTCACCTGGGGTCACCTGTGTCACCTGGGGCTCACCTGGGGGTCACCTATGTCACCTGTGTCACTTGGGAGGGACAGTGTCACACCTGGGTCACCTGGGGGGTGTCTCAGTGTCCCCTCGTGTCCCTGAGCTGTCCCAATGTCACCTGGGGGGTATCAGTGTCCCCCCAATATCACCTGGGGGTGTCCCAACGTCACCTGGGGGTGTCTCAGTGTCACCTGGGGGTGTTTCAGTGTCCCCCAATGTCACCTGGGGGGTGTCCCAGTGTCCCCTGGGGGTGTCCCCTCACCTGGCTCCGTTTGTCCCCCTCCAGACTGGCCTTGATGTGGGCGTCGTACTCCTGGAACAGGTGATGGTACGCGGCCTGCAGCTGAACCAGCTTCCTCCTACCACAGTGGGGACATCATTGGGGACACTGAGGGGACATTGGGGACACCAGGGGTGTCACAAACCCCCACAGCGGCTGCAGCTGCACCAGCTTCCGCCTGGGACACGGGGGACATTATTGGGGACATTGGGGACATCACTGAGGACATTGATGACACCAGGGGTGCCACCAACCCCCACCCTGACCTGCAGCTGCACCAGCTTCCGCCTGGGACACGGGGGACATTGAGGGGACATTGGGGACATCAGGGGTGCCACCAACCCC